TACAAAGAGGGGCTGGGAAGGTGGCTCAGTGGTAGAGTGCTTGCCTTGAGCTGAAGAGCTCAGGGACAGCACCCAGGCCCAGAGTTCAGGCCCCATGACCGACAAAAAAAAAAAAAAAGATAAAGAGGGGCTGGGAAAGTGTCTCAGTGGTAGAGTGCTTGCCTTGCATGCATAAGGCCCTGGATTCAATTCCTCGGCACCACATAAGCAGAAAAAAGCCAGAAGTGGCACTGTGGCTCAAGTGGTAGAGCACTAGCCTTGAACTGAAGAGCTGAAGGATAACACTCAGGCCCAGAATTCAAGCCCCATAACTGACAAAAAAAAAAAAAGACATACAAAGAAAATCAAAATGACAGTATTTTCACAATAAAAAAAAAAAAAGAAAATCAAAATGGATTGATTCTTGAGATAGAACTACATTCAAGAGAGAAAGATAGAACTACACTCAAGAGAGAAATAATAAAGAGAAGCCAGGTGCCAGTGGTTCAGACCTGTAATTCTAGCTACTCAGGTGGCTGAGATCTGAGGATCACCATTTGAAACCAGCCCATGAGACTCTTATCTCCAATTAACCACCAAAAAGCTGTGGTGGAGCACAAGGAGCTTTGAGCAAAAAATCTGAAGGACAGTGCCTGAGTTCAAGCCCCGCTACTTACATACAGAAAGAGAGAGACAGAGACAGAGAGAAAGGGCAAACAGTATGATAACAGCTACTATTAGAGGACTTCTATGTGTACTTAATACTTCACACATCACTCTCATAATTAGACACTATAGTTCTCCGAGATAAGAGATCCTAATATTGCCCCCTGTTGACAGATGAGGAGACTGCAGGCTAGAGAGTTACGAACTTGCTACAGTATTAGAGTACAGTAAAATGTATATTGAAATCTTAATCACTGTGACTCCAGAGCCAGAGATCATGAAAGTGAGTCATCAGAGAATTGGTTCAGCCCACATGGCAGCAACACATACAAAACATCAAAAGGAGAGCAGGCCATCAGACTCTACAAGAAAAGATCCAGGCAGAACCTCCATTAACCATCTCCTCCAATCTCCTCCACCCTAGCTTCTGATTCCCCATGTCCGATACACTATGGAAATCAACACCAGGAGCCGTACCCAACTTATCTCAAATGGAGGAATATTTGATAAGGTAAGGCAGGAATGAGATATGAAGTTGCCTAATCATCCAGCTCTCTATGATCTTATAGCACCTTCAGGATCCCAAGCCAAAGTCTGAATGTTCTGACTTTTACCCTATGAATATTGTCCCTTTATAGATGTGACTTCAAATCTGAAAACACCACCTCTGACCCTTTATTAAATAGACCATAATTCTCTAGTACTGCTTCCACCACTCAAGACCTGTCAACTCTCTTGTCCCAGGCAGTGAACACAGGTGGAGGGGGCCATGTGCAGCTGCTTGGCCGGGCACTGGCTCAGCTTACCTATGGCTCCCTCTGTCCTCCTGATGACCTGGCTGCCCGGGGCCTGTTGGGAATCCCAAGTGCTCTGTATGCCCAGGATGCTTTACGAATATGGGAAATCATTGCCCGGTGAGTAAGAAGGAGCTAACAAATGGAGACAAGAGATGGAAAACAGGCTCTGGCTTGACATCAGCGTAAGACAAAACTAAAGTGTTAAAACTAAAAGAGAGAAGAAGAAGAGTGAGGAGACAATGACTAAAGTCTAAAAATGAAACTAGAACAGGGGCAAGATACTGAGAAGGGGTGAGGAGATCAAGGAATCTGAAAAATCTGGATTGTCTTAGGATAGCTAGCAACCACAGATAAGGAATTCTTAGAACTACTGTCCTATATCTTCTCCTTTTACAATAATTAGTATGCCAAACAAAAAACAAAAAACCATCAAGAGGGCTGGGGATGTTGCTCCTGTGGTGGAGAGCTTGTCTAGTACATGCATGGACTTGGGTTTGATCCCTGACACTACAAGGAGGAGGAGCAGAAAGCTCAAAAAAGCAAACATGTTAGGATCTGATACAGGTGCAGTTTGAGTTAGCTGATCAGAGGCTACAGAAACAAAGAACAAAGGCTAGAAGCTGGAGCATTATGGTCTTGGAGAGCTCAGCTAACGTCTCTGGACAGGTATGTGGAAGGCATCGTCCATCTCTTCTACCAGAGGGATGACATTGTGAGAGGGGACCCTGAGCTGCAGGCCTGGTGTCGGGAGATCACTGAGGTGGGGCTGTGCCAGGCTCAGGACCGAGGTAAGATCCATCCCAGAGCCAGGAGCTCCTGCAAAACTCTGCCAAAATCCCTAATCATCATCACACCTCTTCCTCCATACACGAAGGCATCTAAATACTATTCACACTTTCTATCACTAGAATCATTCCAGACACCCTCAGGTTGTCCACTGCAGAGACTCTGCCATCAACCTTTACTTCTGCCCACCTCCTCCTAGTCATACCCATAATCTGCCATGCATGGAGCATGAGTCACAGGCCAGAGCCACAGCCATAAGGGCTTTTGCCCAGCCCCTCTGTCTTCATGGCTCTCTTATTTTCCTACCTGATGATATAAATGTAAAAACTTCATACCAAAGGCCATGATGATCCTTCACAGCTTTCCCTTCCTTCTTCTGCCTGCTATGTCTATCACACACACAGGGGCCAGGCATATTGCGCACTTGCCAGGGCACAAGGACATTTGTAGCTGTATGCTCAGTACTGTACATGTTTTGGGTCAAACCTAAACTCAATATCCTGAACTCTGGGGCTCTGGGTTTGGCCCATCTGGCTCTCCATTCATACATCCTACTTGCCTCTAACCCTCATATTTTAATCTCTAAAGAAGAAACAGCCAGCCGGACACTGGTGGCTCACGCTTGTAATCCTAGCTACTCAGGAGGCTGAGATCTGTGGATCTTGGTTCAAAGCCAGCCCAGGCAGGAAAGTCCATGAGACTCATCTCCAATAAACCATCAGAAAACTGGAAGTGGTGCTGTGGCTCAAGTGATAGATAGAGCACTTGTCATGAGCTGAAGAGCTGTGGGACAGCACCCAGGCCCAGAGTTCAAGCCCCACCATCCACAAAAAAAAAAAAAAAGCCTTTCCTGGGTTATTCCTAGGTTCATCCTCCCCTCCAGCCTGCATTTCTTTGAGCCATCTTACAGCCAACTGCCTCTCATACCTCAGACCAACACCTTGAATTCTATCTGCTACTTCGGTGGGACAACTATAAACCTTTACTAAGGAGCTAAACTGACCAACTCCTGAGAGGGCCTCTCTCTGAGGAATCTGTGGTATACCACCTCACTCTTCCAGAACCAAACTCTCTCTAGTGCTTACTTATCAGGCCTGACCCTCAAGCTCCCCATTCCAAAAGATCCCTTGTCAACTTCTCAACAAACTCTATCTACATGTGGAAATTTGAAGTAAATATTCACAGTGTCTTGGTCAGTTTGGGCAACTATAACAAAATTTCATAGACTGATAAATTTCTTTCTCACAGTCCAGGAATCCAAGAAATTCAAGATCAGTGTGCCAGCTTAGTCAGGTTCTGGTAAGGACCCTTTTCCAGGATGTAGACAGGCAACTTCTCCTCAGAGCCTCAGATGGCAGAAAGAGGGACTCCTCTCCTAAAGGCACTTACTGGCATTCTCAAAATTTCCTTCGTGACCTAATTACCTCTTAAAGGCGACAGGTCCATATAATACCACATTGAGGATTAGGCTTCAACATACAAATTTGGTGGGGAACAGAAACATTCAGTCCATGACATATACATTAACTCAAATCTCTATTAATTCCTCCCATTCTTCCTTCCCTCTTAATCTCCCTCAGTTTCCATAGCTCATCTTTGCCTAGTTCTGACAGACTTTTTAGAGGAGGTATGACATAATAAAAAAGAGCAATGGATAATCAGTCAAGAAAGAGCCCAAAATTTAGGGACAACTTTTGCTTTCCCCAATTGGGAGATCCTGGCAAGCAGTTTAATTTCGCTGGTCTTGATTTTCCTTATCTATAAAATGGGAGTAAAGCTTACACTGTTGGCTCATACTGGTAATCCTGAGGCTGAGAACTGAGGATTGAAATTCAAAGCCAGACCTTGCAGTAAAGTCCCTGAGATTCTTATCTCCAATTAACCAGGAAAAAGAAGCTATAAGTAAAGACACGACTCAGTGGTAGACTATCAGCACTGGGCAAAAAAATCCAAGGGATAGCACCTGAGTTCAAGTCCCAGTACTGGCACTAAAAAAAAAGCAAGTAAATATATTTGTTCCACTTAACTGATAGGATTATTGGCTTTTGAGCTCCTACAACCACAGTAAACCAAGTGGCTTGAGATAACTCTTGAAGAAACTCTCTTAGCTGTGACAATAGGAATCCAGGATTTCTCTTACTCCCTATCTTATAACTGAGAGATACAATTTCTTGTCTTGGAACATCCCTAAATTCTTTTTGGGGCTGGGGATACTTGATAATTCAGACCTTTTCAGGCTCTAACCTGTCTATAATGACAATAATAACTATAATTTGTTGAATACTTATTATAGAACAGGTGATTTTAACACAGTACTCCCTTTACAAAGGCAAGTATGAGCCACACTTTACAGATGAAAAAAAAGTTAAGTATAGAAAGATAAAGTAATTTGCTCAGTGTAACAAAGCTGTAAGTAATTAAGCCAGGAGTGAAGCCCCTATATTATGTAAATATATATAATTAAACGAACAAAGGAACAAACACCCATAACTTCTAAAAGACACTCTACTGAGCCATCACCCTTCATTTCTTTCTTCTTATGCTGAAGTTTCTAAATCCTGTTCCTTTCCTGGCCAGGTTTCCCTATCTCCATCCAGTCCCAGGCTCAACTCTGCCATTTCCTTACTATGTGTGTCTTCACATGCACTGCTCAGCATACAGCCATCAACAAGGGCCAGGTATGGACAGCTGAAAGCTTAGGTCCCCGAAGATAAGTGTCTGGAGCTTGGGAGACCCAAGGGAGTGATGGGAAACTCAAGCCCTACTAAGTTCTAGGGTCCTAGGATTACAGTTTCTTCCCCCAGCTGGACTGGTATGCCTGGGTCCCTAATGCACCTTGTACAATGAGGATGCCCCCACCTACCACCAAGGAGGATGTGACAATGGCCACGTTGATGAGGTCACTACCTGATATCCAGAAGTCCTGTCTTCAAATGACCATCACATGGCATCTGGGTCGTCACCAGCCAGACATGGTAAGAGGGGATCCTAATGAGAGGGAAATGATTATTGGAAAGGGAATACTGTAGTGAGGCTGAATCCTAGGTGGCTCAGTATTCAGACTAGAGCCTGACTTATTCTTATCCCCTTTTCTGTCTCAGGTGCCGCTGGGACATCACAAAGAAAAATATTTCTCAAGCCCCAAGGCCAAAGCTGTGCTAAGCCAGTTCCATGCAGATCTGGAAAACTTGGAAAATGAGATTACAGTCCGGAATGAACAACTTGAATTGCCTTATGAATATCTGAAGCCCAGCCTCATAGAGAACAGTATCACAATCTGAGACCTAGCATGACCCCACCTGGATTCCACAGCAACTTCAGGACATTTCCATCTTGATTTCATGCTTTTCCAAGTCTCTACTACTAAGGCTCTAATTCTCTCCCAATTAAACTCTCTTATATCAGTAATTCTACTCACCCAGAGTGCACTACCTTTTTTTGGGAAAGAGCCTGAGAGCATTTTAAGCAATATAATCTCTGCCATAATTACTCAGTTTTTTTTTTCACTGTATCATTATGTAAGCAAATGAATGATTGTTTCAATAAAACTTTATGGACACTGAGATATAAACTTCACGTGCTACGAACATGGTTTTTGGTTTATATAACTATATTTTTTGGTTTTGTTTGGGATTTACTTAGGGTGAGGTGTTTTGTTTGGACAACAGTGAGGTTTTGGCTGTATTTCTGCTGCCTCTACCATTTGCTCAATGCACTTTGCTGTGGTCATGCATCAGTTTCAGAATGAATTTAGCCCTTAACCTTACACCAGCCTGAGGCCCTATCTCCACTTCCAAAACATCCAAGAGCAGGACTTGGAGGAAAAGATTTCCTCAGCTAATTCTCCCTACAAGAACTGGACTTCATGCTTGGTGGCCAACTTGCAGGTTTCTATGTTCCTTGACAATTTTCCCTCCATTCCTGTTCCTCCTATTCAGACATGAACTACTAACATGGCCCAAAAGAAAGCTGTTCTTAGCCCATAATGAAAACCTTTGCAACAGACACTCCAGAAGGAAAGAAATATGAAACTCTGGATTCAAAGGCACTTTGCAGCCAATGTGTTAGGATATAGCTGTAATCCTAGCACTCACTATAAAGATACTTCACAGTTCAAGCAAACTTGGGCTTCATACTATCCTGTTTCAAAACAAAATCAATTACAACAACAACAACAACAACAAAAATCAAAGCCACTTTCACATCCCCTTTAATGCTCAGTGATCTCTATGTGCTTTCCAAATTCCAAGTTCTCTTTCACAACCCTTTAAAAAATATGCAGCTGGGGCTGGGAAGGTGGCTCAGTGGTAGAGCACTTGCCTTGCATGCATGAGGTCCTGGGTTCGATTCCTCAGCACCACATAAGCAAAAAGAAAAAAGCCGGAAGTGGCGCTGTGGCTCAAGTGATAGAGAGCTAGCCTTGAGCTGAAGAGCTGAGGGACAGCGCCCAGGCCCAGAGTTCAGGCCCCACGACTGGACCCAAAAAAAATAAAAATAAAAAATATGCAGCTGGGCACAAGTAGCTCACACCTGTAACCCTAGCTAGTCAAGAGGCTGAGATCTGAGAACTGCAGTTCAGAGCAAGGTTAGTCAGGAAAGCCCATGAAACTTCTATCTTCAGTTAACTATCAAAAAGCTGAAACTGGAGCTATGCTCAAGAAATAGAGCACTAGACTTGAGGGGGGAAAAAAGCTCAGGGACAATGCCCAGGCCATGAGTTCAAGCACCAAGGCACATAGATATATACATACATATATACATACATACACACTACGTACACAAAATAAATGGGAAAATATTACATTAGTCCATGACAATCTTTGGTTGGGGTTGGTCCTCAAGAGCTAAATGATGGGGCTGGGAAGGTGGCTCAGTTGTAGAGCGCTTTCCTTGCATGCATGAGGCCCTGAGTTCAATCCTCAGCACCACATAAGCAGGAAAAAAAAAAAGGTGGAAGTAGCGCTGTGGCTCAAGTGGTAGAGAGCTAGCCTTGAGCTGAATTGCTGAGGGACAGCGCCCAGGCCCAGAGTTCAGGCCCACGACCAGACCAAAAAAAAAAAAAAGAAAAGAACTAAATGATCTCTCTTAATTATGATGTGGTCATTGCCCTTACTAGAATAGGTACAAACTCAGTGGAAGATTGTGTTTCTCACCTGAGGCCCTAGGTTCAAACACTAGCATTTAAAAAGAAACTGTTTTTCTTCAACTATCTCCATTTCTCACTAGCGACCCCTACAAACTTTTTTCTTTGGTCAGTCATCGGGCTTGAACTTTGGGCCTGGGTGCTGTCCCTCAACTCTTCAGCTCAAAGCTAGCACTCTACCACTAGAGCCACAGAGCCACTTGCAGGTTTTCTGGTGGTTTGTTGGAGATAAGAGTCCCACAGACTTTCCTGTCAGGGCTGGCTTTGAACCGCAATCCTCACATTTTAGCCTCCTCAGTAGCTAGATTACAGGCGTGAGCCACCAGCACCGGGCTCTAAAAAAAAAAAGTTTGTAAAGCCGGGTGCTGGTGGCTTACAAAAGAAGTTTGTAAAGCCGGTGCTTACAAAAAAAGTTTGCAAAGCCGGGTGCTGGTGGCTTACAAAAAAAGTTTGTAAAGCCGGGTGCTGGTGGCTCACGCCTGTAATCCTAGCTACTGAGGAGGCTAAAATGTGAGGATCGCGGTTCAAAGCCAGCCCAGACAGGAAAGTCTGTGGGACTCTTATCTCCAACAAACCACCAGAAAACCTGCAAGTGGCGCTGTAGCTCAAGTGGTAGAGTGCTAGCCTTGAGCTGAAGAGCTGAGGGACAGAGCCCAGGCCTAGAGTTCAGGCCCTACGACTAACCAAAAAAAAAACAAAAAAACTTTTTTTGTTATTTTTATGGCTTGTTCATATTTTTTAATCTATTTTACTCGAAGGACCTGACAGTTTACAGGGAGGTTAACAGGGAAGTGACATTTTTGTAAACTTACCCTTTCTCGCCTTCATTACCTGCTCATTTAGTCTGCTTTCCCCGGGTTTCCCCTAGCCTACTATTTTTCCTGAACTATAAAGTATTTCAAATACGCTTAGTTACGTGAAATATCTGAAGTCTGAAGAACTCCCCGCCACTTCCAAGCGTCCTAACGGCTTCCGAAGGGTGCTACCACCTCCTTTTACAGTGTCAGAGGGAATCGTGAATGGAAACGCCACAGGCGCGCGGCCTCTCGGAACAAACCTCCCCGTCTCACTTACCAGTTCCCCATCAAAGGAATACCAGGGAAAATTACAAGATCCCACGCCTCTCACCCTAACAGATCATGACCCAGTTCACCACGAACCCGACCCGAGTCGAGACTTCTCTGGAGGCTGGGGCGGGGGGCGGGGGGGACGGCTCACTACTCGTCAGGTGACCTCCCAAATCTGGTCACGTGACCTGCTGGCGCCTACCATTCCAACCTGGGGGACGGACCAAGAATCCGGAGGCTCTCCCCCTCTGAAACGCAGGCTCCCGCTATGTGGGTCCAGAAAAGACTTTTACGGTGAAATAGCTAGGTTTGAAACACTACCGCCAAAACCCTAGGGGACCCGCCCCAAGGCGACCACGTCTCCCCTGCCGCCCCGGAGAAGGTGGTTTGGCCCGTGACCACGCCCCCTCCGCCGCCCGCGGCCGGCTCCACTTCCCAAATCCCCCTGCCGGCCCTCGCGCGTCCGGGATCGCTCACGGCTTCCGCCTTCCCCTTCACACTCGGGAGACCACCCCCGACTCCCTTATGGCGTCGCTCCTGTGCTGTGGGCCAAAACTGGCCGCCTGCGGCATCGTCCTCAGCGCCTGGGGAGTGATCATGTTGGTGAGGGGATTGCCCTGCAAGGATCCGAGAGGGCCCGAGGGGCTCCGGGCTTGGAGGGCTGAAATACCAGGAGACCCGGGCCTTAGAACGCCGCCAGCAGGCTAAGGGGATGGTTGGGGAGGTAACTGGAAATAAGAGGAGATAAATAGTCGAAAAAGGGGAACTGTAGCGAGTGGATTCTAAGGCTTGGAGCCTGGAATGGGAGCCAGGGCTGGTAAATTTGCCGACCTCTCAAGGTAAGAGAAAAGCTAGGATCCTGAGATAGGCTTGAGTTCAATTAAAATTACAGTCTTGGGGGAAAGGGTAAAAGGGTGGCTGGGTCTTGTTTCTACCCGCCATCACTTGCAGAAATATGAGTTCTCCCTCACTTCTTTGGCTTGGTCCCATGATAATGACGTGGGGCGGGGGAGGATAGTGCAGGTTCTTGGAAATGACAAGTTGTTCACTTATTCCCACCCTTATCCCAGCCATTTGTTTCCACCTCACACCCTGCTTCAGGTGGCCAAGTCCAAATCCAGCCACAACCACTCCTGCTTCTAGTTTTTTCTGGTTAATCCCAGATGCTGGTGTTGGGGCAACATTGAAAAGGGGAGGGATTTAGGAAATGACCAGAGTCAGATGCCTGAGCTTGACTACCTATCTATTCCTTTTTTCTCTCCCCTCTTCGCCCCCCAGATAATGCTCGGAATATTTTTCAATGTCCATTCTGCTGTCTTAATTGAGGATGTCCCATTCACGGAGAAAGATTTTGAGTAAGTGATCTGGCTATGGGATGTGAGACTGGGTGCAAGTGGGGGCTTGACAAGGCCTACTATTAAAATAATGGGTGAGAAATTGCTGGAGGAAGAATGAATGCTTGGGTCCTGAGTGAGGTTAAGGAACTGAGAGTGGGCTAAGATGCTGAATATATGAAGTTCTAGGTTCAGTCCCCAGCACCAAAAAGAAGAAAAAAGGGAGGAGTGAAATGGAATGTAGTTTACTGCATGTGTTGAAATCAGGCTTCAGCAGCCATACTTGTGGCCTCTAAGAATTTTACTTTTGCAAAATGAGTACTGTAGCAGAATGCATCCCACATATTTGTAAATAAAACTTAAGAGGCCAGATGCCAGTGGCTCACACCTGTAATCCTTCTACTCAGGAGGGTGAGACCTGAGGATCAAGGCTCAAAGCCAGCCAGGCAGGAAAGAGCCTGAGAGGCTTACCTCTAGTTAACTTCCAAAAAGCCAGACATGGAACTGTGGCTCAAAAGGTAGAGTGCTAGCCTTAAGCAAAAAAAACTTTAGGGACAATGCACAGACCCTGAACCCAAATCCCAGGGCCAACACCAAAAATAATACTTAAAAGATAAACCAGGTGTGGTGCATGCCTGTAATCCCAGCATTGGAGAGGCAGAAGCAGTAGAATCAGGAATCTGAAGCCAGCCTGTAACATAGCAGAACCCTGTCAAAAAAAAAAAAGAAAAAAAGCCTGGCGCCGGTGGCTCTCGCCTGTAATCCGAGGTATGCAGGAGGCTGATGTCCTGTCCGAGGATCAAAGTTGAGAGCCAGGCTAGTCCGGAAAGCCCGTGAGACTTATTTCTGCCGGTGGCTCAACACCGTAATCCTAGCTGCTCAGGAGGCTGAGATGTGATAGTCTATATTCCAAGCCAGCCTAAGTAGAAAAGTCCGTGAAACTTCTTTTTCCTTTTGTTTTTTTTGGGGGAGTCCGGTTGTGGGGCCTGAACTCTGGGCCTGGGCACTGTCCCTCAGCTCTTCAGCTCAAGGCTAGCACTCTACCACTTGAGCCACAGCGCCACTTCCGG